CGAAGCCGCACGGCACGCACGGCAGCCCGCCGGGCACGGCCACACCGTCGGTGCAGGCAGCCAGGTCACCGACCTGCAGGCTGGTGGGCTTCCAGGTGCAGGGCTCGGAGGGGGCGCAGTTGCCCGGGGCCCAGGCCGGGCGGGGCTCGACACAAGTGCCGAGGGCCCCGGCGCCGCAGCCATTGTGCGGGCCGGCCTCGGCGAAGAGGGTGACGCCGCCGGTGTCCAGGCGGACGGCCGCCACCTCGGGCCGGCCATCGCCATCGACGTCCAGCGGGACGAGGCGCACGGCGGTCGGGTTGGCCTGCTGGAAGTGCAACAGCATCTGCATGCTCTGTGGGACGGCCGGCTGCACGGACAGGTGGGCCGCGCCGTCCGGGGCCAGGGTCAGCACGGCCGAGTAGAACCACTGGCCGTCCCAGAAGAAGAGCTCGGCCCGGTCGTGGCGCAGGGTGTGCGGCATGATGACCAGCTGGAAGGTGGTCGGGCTGGTGCCCTGCGGGTAGCCGAGATCCGCGGCGCGGAGCAGCGGCACCGGGGCATCCATCCGGGCATGGCCATCGACCGTGGAGGTGGACCGCCACAGGTAGAGCAGGGCCGGACTGCTGGGCCCCGGGGCGGCGACCGAGAGGAGCATCGGCGGCGGGTGCACGCCGGCCGGGTCCTGCGGCAGGGAGTGCGGCTGGGCGCAGGGCATGATCAGCCCGGGCGGCAGATCCACCGGCCGGAAGTCCTGGCGCTTCAGGATAGGCTGGATATATACCGTCAGCAGGTTGGTCCAGTGGTACGAGCAGGATACACTGTCGAAGGTGCTCTTGGAGACCGACAGCCAGCGGTCCTGGCCCCGGCGATTGTCCACCGGGTGCCAGGCCCCGAAGGCATCTTGCATGGAGTCCGGGGAGATCCCGCTAGAGCCGAGGATTATCTGCTGCTGGGCCAGGACCCGGTCCGGGGTCGGGCGGGCGAATTCCAATGCGTTGCGGCTCAGGGTGGTACGCAGCGCCAGGTCGCACAGGCGCCCGGTGCCGGAGGTGATGGCATTGTCCCGGTCGCCGAGGCACTCCAGCAGCTCGTCATCAAACAGGGGCATGTGCAGCGACTCGGCCAGCCGGCGGAACACCAGGTCCAGCATTTCCGGCGCCAGCGACATCTGCAGGGTGAAGTGCCCGGACCCGGGGACCGGCACGGCCTGCATGACGTGCTTCTCCGTGTCCACGGCTAAAAGGCCCTCGGCGCGACGGGCACCGGTGCCGGCCGGGGAGAAGTCCGCCCGGCGAAGGTGCTCAAAGGCTCGCAGGTCATTGAAGAGGAAGGGCTGGTTGGTGGCCGAGGAGAGGCTGGCCACGGCCAGCCGTTTCATCGGGCCGAAGTTCCCCAAGTTGGAGGCCTGGAAGTAGACGGCCGGCGTGCCGGGGCCGGGCTCCGGCCGGACGGTCACCGTGGCCGCCGGAGTCGTGCCGCAGGTGCCATTGAGCAGGTGCTGGCCGGTCGGGCAGGCGGTGCACTGGTCGGCCGCCGGGCCGGTGCA